ACCTTGAAAGAAAGCCCTGGCCATTTGCTTCCGTCACATTTCTTGCTTTTGCATGCCTGGGGTTGATTTCCAATGGAGAGCAACTGAGAAGAAACACGAACAATAAATGCCCCAGGAGGGTTTTCTAAGCTATACTCTTCATGTGAGCAGGTCACCCTGGCCTTTCTCCTCCAGACCCACTGGGTGGGTTCCAACCAACTGCTTGTTGGTTAGCAGCAGAGTACTTAACTACAGTGCCACCAAAGACTATAACCAGAGATGGGACCCGTTCTACTCTGTAATTGTTGGGTTGACTTAGAGACGCGTGGACACCCATGCATCTCCGTAAAACAGGGCTTCCAACTGGCCTATTCTGGCTGTACACCCTGTGGAGAATGGAGAATTTGTATTTTTTCCCCCAAATACACTGAATCAGAATCTATCTTTTCACAAGATCTCCATAAGAATCTATAAAAGAATCACCTGGAGAACCTCATTCAAGACATTGTGAGTCAGAAGGCCAAACAGGAATCAAACCGGTTCAAAGCCCTGCTTTGCAGCTGTCTTTACAGGAGGTCATCATGGCTGAGTCATCTCCCCTCCCTGAGCTCCAGTTTTTCTCATCTGTAAAGTGTGCATACTACTATCTACCTTTCCCAGTTCCCAGTCAGGTAAAGAGCTTAGTAAAGTGCTTGGCATAGACCCCCAAACCAAACCAAACTCACTGCCATCCAGTGGATTCTGACCCACAGCATCCCTACAGGACAGGGTCCCACTGCCCTGGTGAGTGTCTGAGACTGTAACTCTGTATGGGAATAGAAAGCCCCCTTCCTCCCCCGGGGAGGCTAGTGGTTTCGAACTGCTGCTACCTTGCAGTTTGTAGGCCACTGCATGACCACTATGCCACCAGGCCTCATTGGCATAGGGAAAGTTCTCAGTCTATGGTAGCTGTAGTTGCTATTACACTCTTACTATATTCTTTCGTGGGAGGGTAGTGTGATTGTATAGGTAAACACGCGGACCGTGGAAGGAAGTTGGCTGGCTTACATCCCCATTCGCAGCTGGAGCTACCTGAAGTTCAGCGAGTGACATTCCCCCTTTGCCTGCATTCTCTTCACTGTGAGTCAGCACTGGCTCCCTGGAGTGGGTTTTTGGTTTTATTTTGTTTTTTAATAAGCAGAATAACAATAGTACCTACTTCGTGGAGTTGCTGTGAAAAAAATTAGTTATTGTATGTGAAGTTCGGAAGATTCCTTGGCAAATGCTAAGTGCTACAAGTGTTTGCAGTTCATTTCAGTCCCAGTTCTGAAACGATCCCTACCGTGTTTTATTAACAGCCAGGCTGGGAGGAAAGCTGTCACCGTGGATCCAGTTTGTAGACTCAGAGCCCCATCCGCCCCACACGCCACCTAAAGACCAAACCGCCTCCCCTCTGGGAGTCTGCTCTTGTTTATCGGCAAACTGTGCAGTACAATAAGTAGCATCCACAATGGTACTTACAAATGGTCCCATCACATGAATGAGGGGTGGCCAGAAGGAAGCTTCTAGTGACTTAGGCTGTCCCAGTGCTTGCCTGAGTCCTGTTCTCTACCCCATTCTGTCCTCCTCTCCCTCCACGCCTCCCGCCAGAGGGCTCAGATTACCTCCTGCTGGGCGTGGGGCGGGAGCTGCTCAGTGCCCGCTGCCAGGCCCTATTTCTGGGGGCCCAGCGAGCGATCCGAGGCCATGCCAAGCTTCCCGGGGATCAGGTTTCTGCTGACGCGGTGCCAAGCACGTCTGCTTCCAGGAACCGGCAGCCGCTTTTAGCCGCGGGCCGCACATGAAAGGGCTGCAGTCGGAAACGTGACGTTTTGTCAACAGGCGAGGCAGGTCAGCGCTGGGTGAGACCATCCCGCAGGCCGGCGAGCTGTGAGGATCACGCCCCGTCTGAGGGTGGCCTGATCCCGAGCCTCCTCACTTCCGCCTCCTGCCACCTCCCTGGGCCTGTGAGCCAGGGTTTCACCCCCTCACACTCACACACCCTTTTTAAAAACAGAGGCCCTCTTTGTCCCAAATGGGCAAAAGGCTGGGGTACAAGTCCTTCCCCCTCACCTCCTTTTGCCCACACTTGGCTTAGGCTGAAAGAGGGCAAGAAGGAAAGCCAAGGGCAGCAGAGGCACAGAGGAAGAGGCTGAAACTTTGGGGAGTGTTTGATCCCAGATAGGGGGATTCTGGGCTCCGATGTGTGGAAGCCTCGGGCCTTTAAGTTCCCGTTGGTTGAGAACCACTTCCTTCTGTCCCCAGAACTACTCCTTGAGTCATGGTCCAGGAAAGAGGGACGGATGTGAAGAAGTTTGGCCTTGATTTCAACCCCGGTTCCCTCACCAGGATAAAGTCGACCTGTTTGGGTTTTTATAGAAAAAGGCCAACTGGAAGAAGGGCAGGGATTTGAGAGTTTAGAAGGAAGGAAACCAGGAGACTTGAGTCTTGGCTGAGTTGCTGGGAGAAACAGTTACAAAACTTGCCATGTGCCTGTTACAGTATGTGAGGTCATTCTCAGAATCTTTTTAATGGACCAGATCCAGGGATCCTAACTCCCAATCCAGGTCTCTGCCCATCATCGCACTAAGTCTAGAGACAGTTGTGCCTTTTAGATCACGTGCTTTATCTTGTACCGGGAGGCAACGCTCACCTCCCCTGCTGGCTCATCAGGATATGGGGAAGGTGACATTTGAAGCAAGCAGTCCTGACAGGCAGGTGGTGCTTCTGCTGAGAACTAACTCCTCTGGGGCAGGTTCCCTGCATGGGTTTCAGACAGGCAGAGAGAGTGCTGTAAGACTCACACGTGACTCACGGCTGGAGTACGGAAGAGGAAGGCCAGGCCCTGACCATCAGGAAACATCAGGGCACCTCCGAGAGAGGGTGTGTCCTGCAGGAATGCTACAAAGCAAAGAGGTGAGGAAAGGCAAAAATACTGACCCTGTCACTTCCCACTTCTTTTCCCATGGATTTTTTTTTTTAATAACAGCACTTGACTAAGGAACATTGATATTTATTCACACACAAACACACCCAGTGAAAGGAAGTCCAGGAAGGATGTAGAAAATAATTATGGAACGTTGCCTCCAGCAGTAAGAAGGCAGGATATGGCAAACCCATTAGACCTTGCTAGATTTTTAAAAGTTAAGACTGCCTTGGCAAAGGAGCACTTTCCCCAGCATCATTGACCGTTGCACAATCATCCCCTAAAGTTTTTCTCCACTTCTCCTCCAGCAAGCTCCCCGGACGTTCCAACAACACACCATTTCATATCCTGCTTTCCCTTCACTCTAAGGACCGTGACTGAAGCTGCCTGGAAAATAAAATGCCATCCTGGCCTCTCACTCCCAGCCTTAACTCTGAAAAGAAGTATAGGCCTGACTGTGAACCCCTGGCAAGGGATAGAAATAAGTTATTTACCTGCCCATTTGACCAAACTGAATAGAAGACACACAGAAAGCGGAATGAAATCCCACTGAAATGAACTAACTGTTGTCTTCAGCCAGAGATGGGCGGACCACCATAGCACCAGATCGAATTATTTTTAAAAAGGCAGGAGACCATTTTTCTCTTCCACAGGAAAAGGATTATTTTATTAAGTACTTTAAAACAACAACTTAACATTTACTCATAGATAAAAATATTTACATAATTTCATACCTCCAGGAAGGCTCCAAAATATAAACACTGTACCTCTCCCTCGAGAAAAAACAAATTCTTCTCTTCAAAAACAGGAATACATTCATTTTTCTCACTTTGTGGATCAAGTAATTATACAAATAAACATCTGAAACAATTTCCTTTGTAGTATATTTATATAATATATATTTTACAAATAAAGGCAACGACTTTATATATACCAAAATAAAAATAGGAAAAGAAAGTTTAAAACACAATCGGCAATCAAGCATAGTGCATTTTCAGAAAGCTGGTACAGGGCTAAGTTGACAGATCAGGAAAACATGTATGACAACTGGATTGAAAAGGTCTTTGAAGGAGAGCATCCCTTGTTAGCAGTAAGGATATTCCATATACCACCAGGCAGGAGAAATTAACCTATCGAAAGGTTCAAGGGTTGGTTAGGCCTTTGAGAAGCTAAGCTTGGTTAAAAAGCAATTTTAGGATAGAGGTGAACACCTAGTGCAGCCGTTTGTGGGAAGGCAGCACTCATGACTCTGGGCGCTCGTAACATGTATGTTTGCCTCTCTCAAGCCCTGTACTAGTTTTCCTTGGAGCGCAAATGCCAATATTAACAGGTGCCAGAGAGCCTGAGGAAGCTCCTCCCTCGTTCCTGGCATGATCCAGCGTGTACAAGGGGGCCCTTTAGTAAGTTCTTTAATAAGCTAACCACTACAAGAGCCTGAATGGGGAACTACATTCTCTTTATTCATCTGAGACAGGGGTGGGAAGAACACCTGAGGACAACCTCCCGAAACCACTGCCGTGCAATGCCAGTGTCTGCTACCTCACCACGTTAGCAGAATCTAAAGCTCAGTCTGAGGGCCCTCTCGCTGCCTGTGAGTCACATTGACAATAAAGGGAGAAGGGTGGGGTCGGAACAGCTGGCTGGGAGTTGCACTCCGAAAAGCCCTCTTTTGAAAAAAAAAGTACCTTTTCTCAAAGCCACAGACCTGGCTCCCAAACTGAATAATGACTCACAGAAGCTTTTGAAAATCCAGCTGATTCGGTAGCAAAGGGAGGTGGGGGGTGGGGTCTCTGGGTGGGGGAAAACCCAGAAGTGTGCTCCAATCCCTACCACCACCACCCTCTGTACCCAAATTGGCTGATGTCAGGCACTCCTGTTCCCTAAGCCGAAAGGAACTTTTGTGTCCTTACGACACGCAGGCACACAATGCACACGGGCACCCACACCCCGAATCTTTTCTCCACACTTCAGATACCTTGGCACACGCACTCGAACAATCCCGCTGCACGCACAATAACCTTTTTTGTTTAAGGTAAGGGAGGGAGTAAAGCAATGCAGCAGGGTTCCCCCCAGTGAGTTTAGTCTTTGGTTTCCAAGTTTAATGGCGGGATCTGCTTCAGAGCTTGGAGGAGGGCAGAGGAGTCTATGGATGGATGAGGTGGCAAAGGAGAAGGGAGTCTCTGGGGCATGAGCAAGGGAGCTGAGATCTTGTCCGGATTCATGAAGCTGGTGAGTGCTGCAGTGGAGGCGTTGAGGCCCGGGTATAACACTGGAACAGAGGTGGGGTACCAGCACTTCTCCAGCATGGGCAGGTAGGCAGTTGCTGACGGAGGGATTACATAGAAGGGTAAGCAAAAGGGGGGCTGGTGCGGATGTGGGCCCAGGAAGGGGGAGCCCATCAGATCACTGCCAGGGAAATGGTTTTCATCCTCAGAGAGCTGCATCCTGCCCTTTTTAGGGGGCGGTTCTTCGGATTCCTGCTTAATAGTGCTGATCCTCTCTCCCATGGCAAACCTGCATCCAGCATCACTTTTGAAGTACGGCTGCTCGCCCCGCAAGTCGCCCTTCTCAGATTCTCCTCCATAGCCGCTGTCTGTGTCGGTGTCACTGCCGCTCTGCTCCCCGCTGGAGTGGGGGAACGTCCGCCGGATGACTGGAACGCAGTTTTTCCCAGGCCCTTCGGAGCCTTTGGCTAGGGAGCTGGGTTTCTCCTTGAAGTCTGTGGTTTGGGGAGCCAGGTCTGGTGGCTTCCTGGAGGTGCCCCCTTGCAGTAGCTCAGAGACCACACGGTGGAGGTGAGTGACTAGCTGGGAAGACTTCAGGTCCCGAGTGCTCTCATGCTTGGCCAGGTACTGCAGCACCTCCCGAGCACACGTCTGGAAGCCGGAACAGAACATCTCTTGCCCTGCATCGATACTTCTCCCGGACAGCTCACCTGGGGAAACAAACCCAAAGGGCGACATTTCAGAACGCGCTGGGTTCACCTGCACACCTAGATTCCAAAGACTATAGTTAAAAAAAAAATGTTTTTAAGGGTTATTTGCTGATTTCCCAAAGAATTGTGCATACCCTGAGAGGTATACAGAGTAAAAAGAACCCACAATTCTTTAGGACTGCTATGAGTCAGAACTGATTCAATGGCAGTGAGATAAATAGGATTTTTAGTGGCTGCATAGTGGGTTCATTCTGGAAAGACTACTTTCCCTTGTTTTGAATGTGCAGGTTGTTCCTGGGTTTTAATTACCAGGACAATGGACACCTGGAAAAGTTTACTGATTTATAGAACAGCATCAACTCACAGTGGCACAGATAAGACATTAAACAAAACAAAACAAAGCACTTGAAATGAGCTTAGTTTCAAAGACTTCTGCAAGTCACAGTCATGCGAATATACTCTTTACACAGGCTCTCTTACTTCTAAGTCATCCTCTTTCCACACCTGTCTCCTCTACATCGATCCATGACCCTTGAGACACTATGTAGGATCCTCTTCCTATTTTCCCATGAGGGACTTGGCAGAAGCATGAGCTGTGTTTCTGTGTGATTCCCACCAAGCTGGGCTTGGAAAGGAATGAGGAAATGGGTGGAAGAAGGCCTCCACCAATCTAGATCTGGATTTGGAAGGGGAGAGTCTGGAAGGTTAGAAGGCAACTCGATCTCTGGAAGTCAGTGAAAATGAATGATGAAACCCCAGTGGCTTCATTAGATTGTGCAATTCAACAAGATCCCTAGTGGCTACTCAGAGATCCACATGAAATGCAGCAGAAAGTCCTCCTGGCTTCCTGCCAGTATCATGCCACATGATAAGGAAAATGCTGGGGGATACCCACGATCTCTTCCCCACAGCAAAAGGGTTAAGATGACCAACTGTAAAACACCCACGATGCAAATTAGAGATGCCTTGGCATTTTAAAGGAGAAGGGGGAAAACCTCTAAGAACCCAGAAACTTCTAAGCCAAAATGCCACAGAAATATCTTTTCACCAGACTAATCTGTATTCATGCCAGGTGGCACATACATAGGAGCATTCCAGATGAAAAGGCTGACTTTTAGGAAAGATAAAACTGCATCTTCCCAACGAATGTGCATGAGCAATTGGCTGTGGGGACGGTTTCTTCAGGCCACATGCTGAAGCCCACAGGCTGTTTCTGTTGGGGCTAGAGCACTTCTGAGATAACAGCCAGACTTAGGTACTCACCAGCTTGTAGACCACTCTGCAGGGCAAGGATTTTCTGTTGCTGCTGATCAATTAGGTTTGTCAATGCTTTCACATGCTTCAAAGTAAGTTCCAGAACAACCGCTTTTTCTAAGTGACCTAGAGTCTGGGATGAAAAGAACGTAGTCAGCAGTGAGGTGTGAGAAGTCCTACCCCAGGGATGCTTATCAGCAAGAAGAAATGTCTCTAAGGGGAAATGGAATCGCCTTTACCGCTTGGCTAAATTCAGTTTTTAATTTTTTAAAAAAAATTTATAGATATATATTTTTTAATTCAGTTTTAAGATCGTAGATAACGCTTTAAAAAAGTACACCCACATGAATTCTGATTATAAACTAAAACAAGAAAACTTGGGTTAATTATCTTTGGAAGCATTCTGAGATGGCAGCTACTTCAGGAGAAAGCAGTGACAGATGAATTTCTCTGGGAGCCTCTGCTGACCTTAACGCAGGGGAATCCAGAGATAACATTTCTCTGCAGTGGTGTCAGCCTGAACAGGGATGTTTGTGTCTGGCAGCTAGGACCAGGCTTTCCCTAAGCTTCTTGCCTCACACCCTTTCAGAGAGTCTAGCTCATTCCAGCTTTTTCCTTCCTCCCCGAATACTTTTTTCCTCCTTTCCTGAACCAAGGCTGCCAAGCTGTTGGCTCTTGCCACCAAAGGACTGGACATACAGCGCACATTAAAGCAATTCCCTAGAGTTTTTTTCTTTTTAATGGGAGGGAGTGGTTAAATAAAATCTGAATGCTACCTGGTCTGTTTCTTAAATTAGGAACATCAGTGAACCCTGAAAATTACCAGAAGAGAAAGTCTTGCAGTCTAGAAAGCAGGAAGGGGGGCTGATGTTGGGTCTCAACTCATTTGAATGAGGCTCCCAGAAGACCCTAGGTCTGGGGCAGGGTCCTTCACACGGGGCACCGCTGGGAGCCGGCCATCTGCTTTGCAGTTCCCTGTGGGGCCTGTTGGCGGCGAGTGACCCCCGCCCGCCCGCCCTCCGGGCCGAGGAGCTGGATTGGAAAGCGGCCAGATTCTCACTCACTGTAAGTTTGAGGTGCTCAGGTAGAAGATCTTTCAGCTGGGCGATGCACTCGTTAATCCGATCACGTCGTTTCTTCTCGATCAGCCGGTGCGGGAGTTTGTAGGTTTCCTGCAAGACGCGTGGGGCGGTGGTGGGTCTCTGAGGTAGGTGATTTGAAGCCCCCCGGGAGCCAGAGTCCGGCAGGGGTGCAGACCCAGCCGGAACCACCTTTTGTGGTTCCTTCCTTCCCAAACTACACAGCAGGGGCATGGAGCCACATCTAGCATGCCGGGCAAACCTCAAATTGGGAAAACTTTTCCTAAAACGGGCGCGAGGGGGGTGGGGTGGGCGGGCAGGGTCCCAAGGGGCGCGACGAGCTTACCTTACTGTCGTCGCTCCGCTTCATTCCCCGCCTCGACTTGTACACCTGGTACATGTGGGCAAAATCCATCCTGCCAAGGCAAGGTCGTGATTTCACGTGCGTGCCCGGCTGCAGGCGCCCTGGCAGGGCAAGAACCCCCAACGCGCCCGGGCTGCTCCAAGTTGAGAACGGCGCAGGCCGCCGGGCCGGAGTTAGCAGCCGAGGGGCCGCCGGCGTGCCAACTTACCCTGGTAGGTCTCCAGGCTCCAGGGCTGGCGCTGCGGGCAGGCAGGCTGGAGGTGGCTGCGCGCTCGGGATCCGCTCCATGGTGCGGCGAGCCCAGGCCACGGCGCGCTTGCCGAAGTGCTGGCGGGGCGTCGAGACGAAGCCTGTCCTGGGGGAGACGGCCCTTCAGGGGTCGCTGGGCCGAGCCTGCCCAGAGGGCGCGCGCCGTCCGAGCCACGGGGCCGCCCGGGAGCTGCTGCAAGGGGAGGCGC